GAGAAAAAAATGCTGGTATTGATATTCTTAAAGGTGAAAACTACAACGTTATTGTTGTTATAAATAAAAATCAAGGAAATACAATAGCCTTTTATCATGGAAATGCAATGAATAACTATGATGATTTAAGAAATTGGTTTAATATTCTAAAAGAGAATAAGTTGAATGGTGTTTTTATTGAATGTCCTGGGAAGAATGAAATTAAAAACATATATACAAAAGAAAATTTATTAAAAACAATTGATGCTTCATTAAACGCAATTAAAGATAAAGGATTAAATATCAAATACACCATTGGATATAGTTTAGGATCATATGCAGCAATTCAAACAGCTATTAAATTAAAAAATAAGAAATTGGTTTTAATTGCACCATTTAGCAACTTTGTAAACAATGTATTGGAAAAACTACCAAAATTATTTTTTATAGAGAGATGGATTGTTAAGAGAATTTGTAAAAATATTTTGATTTTGATAATATTTCTAAACTCAGGGAGTACAATGGTCAAGTTTTTTTATTTCATGGTGGTTTGGATGACGTAATTAAAAGTTCAAATTCTGTTGATATTAAAAAGGAATTTTTAAATGTTAAGGAAGATAAAATATTTTATGAGTTATTAGATAAAGCAGATCATGTAACTATTTTTAATGAAGAAAATTTAAAAAAGATTTTGAAAAAATCAATTTTTTTAAATTGATAAAAAATTTAAATAAAATATTTTTTTTAAATAATAAACAAAGATATGTGATTTCAAATATTTTCAAAGATTATGTCGTACATCTCATGCCTATAAACAAATAGTTTCTGATTTATACATGTTGTTTTTTATTTTCTATCAAAAAGAGAAATTTATCATAGAAACTAATTTAATATTGAATTGGTTTTATCTGATTATTACTCACTTAATTTTTTTTAATGACTATCGCTCATATGAAACCATCCTAGTTTTATTTAAGACAAATTGTTTAGAAGAATTTCTAGATCAAGTCTCTTTTTCCCACATGGAGAAAAACTTTAAAAATACAAAAAAATATAATAAAATATTTTTTGAGAAATTCTTTAACTCATGAATCATTAGAATGACAAGGTATTATAACTGTATTTACGTGAACCAACTGAAAACTTGATAGAGTTTCTTCAGATCAAGAGCGTATTTTATGGTACGTGAAGTGTATATCTTGTTAACAAAATATGGAAATAAGGCTATATTCTAGAAATAGAGAAGAGTGGTATTTAGGTTTATTAATCACAGTAAATACGTTTTTATCGCACCGAGTCACTATTATCGAGTTTTAATATATTTTTAAACAACAAGCCGCTAGTATGTTATAAATGGTTTTACAATCAAACTCAAGTACAGATAGGGCCAGTGGTGAAATGGGAATAA